AAATTAAGGATCAGTTGGAATCAGAACAGAACACTCCAAGGGTGGTGATGGAGAGGGATCTGCTTACTCCTGTGCACGCTTCTAGGTTCTTCGGAGCGGTACAGTCCACAACGGGAAGACAAGACCTCAAAATAAGGTGACATTTACAGGTACCAGGGGCTAGGACTTCAACATATTTTGGGGGGGAAGCAATTCAACCCACAGCACCTCCCATAGCCCACATACCTGGGAAAAGCCTTTCTTCAATAGCAATTGAGGAACCGAATGCCCAAGTGAGAAACTTGGAGCCCAAGCTAGGATTTGGTCCTGAAGTCATTGAAATCCTGGGGGGAAATGACCCCCAAATTCCGAAGCTGCAATGGTTCTCCACTGTGCTGACTTCCAGCTAGAAGCTATAAATCACATTTGGGAGCAGCTGATTCTTTTGCTTTGGGGGAAATATACTGATTGTTTTTGTTTATGCAAAGTAGAGTAAATATTCTGTTCTGAAATAGTCTGCTCAAGATAAAGGGACTTCTATAATAATATAAAAATCTGTTTTTATTAATCTGCAGAGTGGTTTTGGGGGAAACAATCGGGCCTGGAATCTGGGTAGGACAAAAATGGTTTCAAGTGCATTCCTTTGCTTGGGTAAGGACGGGAGAAGTGGGTAGGCGTTGGGAGTTACAGGCGGTGCAATCTGGATACAGGCTGAAGGCAGAGGGGAAGGGACCCTGAAGCTGGAGCTAGCTGCATGGACTTGCAATAGATGATTATATAAATTCTCAGGGACTTTGCCAGCTGGTTGCTAAACAGGGCCATCATTAAAAATTAAATAATGTGAACTTACAATTAAATACATTATATTAAACACAAAGTTAATAAGTACTAAAGCTCATCACTTCATACTTATATTGCTACATTATTATTATCTATATTTTTGAGGTCTAATGTGTCGGTTGGTAGAAATACTGTAGAGGGTGTGCTACTGTGTCTCTCTGCCCAATTCCCATTTGATGCCATCTAGGTTGGCAGCTTGAAATCAGCCAGTGTGGGAGTATTTACACCAGGGGAAGTGCCAACACTCTGAATCAGCCCCCTCCCACCAGTTGTTAAACATCTACCAGCATGCTACTGATGGGAGGGTGGGGGGTAGAGATGACACTGTCTCTTCTGTCCTGGAAAAGGGGCATTAAGAAGCAGGCTAGAGTCTATGTTTGAGCAAATCAATATGGGAGAGCCCAGAAGCCTAGGCAAGCAGGTGACAAAGTGGCAAGAGGGGAGAGCGGGTAGATGGAGTACACTCCAGCCCAAAGAGCTGACACCTCTAAGAATTTATAGATGACGTGAGCTCCATTTCTGAGGCCTCAAAATAAACACAAATATGTAAACAGAGCATGAAGGTTCTATAAAGAGTCTTGGAAGTGAACCTGAAAAAAGACTGGGTTTCTGGTCCTTCCACAGGCAGGGGCTCCAACTCATGTCTTCAGAGAGACTGGCATGTCTTTGTTCCAGAAAATCAACGGCAGTCTTTCCTATGGGTTTTCTCAAGACCTTCCATGGTCTAATGTGCACCCAGACTCTTGTAGCATTTCCTAAAGTTGTCTGTCCCTGAAATAGCTCAGGGTCAGGGGTCAGGGCTCCACAATAACAAACTTTGGAAATCTCTAAACTAGATACATGGGCCACATGGAAATCGACCTGGCCGGCCTGGCATTTTCCAGCCCCAATCACATGATCCTGAAAGAGAAAATGCTTGTCATTTTCCCACATGTACTGTACTCACCTGGTGCTTCCCCTAGAGCCCTTCTTCCTCACTCCACCACCCAAAATACTCAACAAGAAGAAATCTTTTTGCAGTGATCTAATAAGGAAGAATAAACGGCAGGATCCTGTCATCTCCATCGTGTGGCCAGAAAGCAGAATGAGGGCCAGCGTTACTAGGTCTAGCAAATAAAAATATAGGATGTCCGGTTAAATTTGCATTGCAGATAAATTTGAGTATCTGCATTTGCAGATAAAATTGAGTATCTGCATGCCCCATGCAATATTGGGGACATACAAATACTACAAATGCATTTGTTGTTGATAGTTCAGAGTCAGGACCTGACTGACAATTGGCCCAAAGACCTCGAGAGACACCTCTAGAAGCCCTTCTAGCGAAACTAAACTACTACACTTGTCTGCCTAGTAATTCAAGCATTCAATNCTCGAGAGACACCTCTAGAAGCCCTTCTAGCGAAACTAAACTACTACACTTGTCTGCCTAGCATTCAACNACCTCTAGAAGCCCTTCTAGCGAAACTAAACTACTACACTTGTCTGCCTAGTAATTCAAGCATTCAATGACTCTCTCAGAGACGATTAGCTCAATCCTCACGGAAGCCTCTGCGTTCCATTTGTGATGGGCTAATTTTATGAATACTGTTCACTTGGCTTATGGACGGCTGCTGGGAAGCAGGCCAGGGAGGGAGGGAGAGTCCTGCCCAGGTGCCTTTCCTCCAAGTCCTTCCCTGTCACCTGCGGCTGACACATCTTCATTTTATTGTTTCCTAGGATAATGAAGACCTACAGATTCCACTCTCCAAATATGGGGAATACTTGAAGCTGTATTTGTCTTGATACTGATTTATATAAGCATTGTGATGACAGTTCTCTATGTTCCATTTGGACTAGTGCTAATTATTTATCATGTTTGTAGCATGCCTGGATTGACTGGGGAGGGAATCAGTTGGCTGGGGCAGTGAAGGGAACTGGAGCAACTCAGTATTCTAAACTGATTGCATATAATTCTGGAAGGAGATAATCTGTGTGTGCCTATAGATGGCATATGTGTGTGTGTGTGTGCATGTGTGTGTAGAGAGAGACNGTATTCTAAACTGATTGCATATAATTCTGGAAGGAGATAATCTGTGTGTGTCTATAGATGGCATATGTGTGTGTGTGTGTGTGTGTGTGCGCGTGTGTGTATAGAGAGACAGAGAGAGAGACAGNATCTGTGTGTGCCTATAGATGGCATATGTGTGTGTGTGTGTGCATGTGTGTGTAGAGAGAGACAGAGAGAGAGACAGAGAGAGAGAGATTTCCTGCAAGAGAAATGAGAACAGTCCAAGGTGGCCATTGTTCTAATTATGGCTTTGTTTTTCCCCAGGACACAGGAATCCTCACGTTCTTTCCAAAACAGCGTGGAGGAAGTAGAAAGCTTCCTTTTACAGAAAATACCACCTCATTTCAATGTTTAAAAATACCTCCTGAGCACAGGGCCAAATGCTGTCCTACTTACAGCTTGAGCTTCAAGGATGTTGGCTGTAAAAGGTTTAATTAAATAATGAGAGGGGGGAAAAGCCATAATTTAAGAGTGCAATTACCCACAAGAATACTTCATTAGTAACTTCTTTGGCTAGATCTAAAGCCTATGAAAGCCTTGCTTTTGGAAAACAAAACAAATCAAACAAACTCCGCAACCTTAGCAACTATCTGTAACTGTTTTTAGAGTCAGTTTGTGGACAATGCCAGGTGCTGGTGAGGAGGGGAGCAGCTAGTTCTCTCACACTTGTAACTAGGAGTGTGTCCCCTTTGACCAACACGCCCCATTTCCCCCATCTCAGCCCCCACCAATATGCTGTTTCCATGACTTTGGCTGTTTTAGATTCTACATTTAAGTGAGATCTTTGTCCATCTCTGTGTGATTTCACCCCAGAGGGCTCCCTCCTATCCATCACTCAGCACACACCCTCAAGGTCCATCCATGTGTTTGCAAACGGCAGGATTTCCTTTTTTATGGCTAAATGCTATGTCATCAGGAATTACTCCTGTCTTCCTTTACCTTTTGAACCATAGCCAGCTCTGCTTAATAAAAATCATATTTTGAAAAGGAAGACACACAAAGAATGCTTATTTAATAATCCGCTTTCCCCCCAACTTTTTAGGAGCAGAGCCTTACATGTGGCTTCTTGTCGTGGCTTCCAATTAGAAAACATATCTTTTCTTGGGTTTATTTTTCCACTAATACAGTATTTAGAAAAAAGCTCTTTTAAAGATTTTAAAGATGTATTTTCTTTTCATGGTTTCCTTGCCATTAAAATAAAAGGGTGATAAAAGCCAATAAATATAAACTTTCTTTCCTATTTTAGGGTAAGATGTTTTACTGCCTCTGCCTCAATTAAGGCAACTCATAAGAGTCTCATCATTAAACTGTAGTTGTTACGGTGACTTTACAGACCATGTAGCCTTGTTTCCGGGGTTACCCCTGCTCAAGAGAAATCGAGAGCCTGGGTCACAGTGGAAGGTTTTACTGGGCTCCAGTCCCCTCTCAACGGGCCTTGGGCCTATAATGCCCCCTTTTCTAAGCTAGCGGCCAATGTTTTACCCTTCCCCAACTGAGAGAGACATCAGGGATACAGATGTGGGAATGTCAGTCCAGGGTTTGCAGCATTTGTGGCCCCCTGCACCTGCGGGCTTGGCTTCAGTCATATCACCTGACATGCTTGTGCCTGCTGCTGGCCCCACCACAGGCCAGTTTCAGGTCCCCACTTCTTTTTTGTGAGGCTTTAGTAGTTGCAGGGTAGTCTGTTCACAGCACAGCCTCGGGGGGTTAGGAATTCCACCCTCTCCAAGCAGCCTTGCCTGGTGCCCCGGAGCAGAGCAATGCCCATGGTCTTTCCTCCTTCTCTAGGACATCCCTAGACTCCCAAGGACTCTCTAGCTATCTCATCTCCTTTCTCAGGGATGCTCAGGGCCCAAGATTCAAAAGCACACTCAATAAAAATGACGACTCACCCATCGAACGTTAGGGCTTTGGATGCTTCATCCCCTCTCCGCAGCTCCCAGCGCGCCCCACAGCTCCCCGAAGCTGATGGCCGAGGGGAGCCACGTGCCATCAGAGATTGTCTAAGAGCAAACATTCCAAAATTCCACCTCTTCCACCAAGGACAGCACCCTGGCTGAAGCTCACCTTTTTGCCAAGCGTATAACCATGTCGTTTGTCTGTTGAATCGGCATAAAGGGTGAAAGGACATCCTTCATTTATGTAACAGGTTTCCTACCAAAAGTATCTCATCAGCATCCTCGATTTTGCAAATACGGGCACTTTTCAACGACTGCCAGTAGAATGCACCTGGACCGTAGACCCAGTTCCCCAACCACGAACACTTGGCTTTGGAAGGAATTTCAGTACTTAACATGAATGTGCCTCGAGGTTGCAGGGGTGCACCACACTCTGCACTGCCACGGGAGGGACCACTTACTGGAGGCTCCGCTCCTGCTCCTAGGTGCACAGCTCTGCCCTGCACCGTTTTACTCTGAGCAATGCACCTGTGGTAGACAGAGGGCAAAAAGGGCCCCATTGTCCCCTCCTTGTATCTTCTTCTCTCCCACTGTCACTGTGCAACGCTTCCCATAGAGGTGGGGCTCTGCTTCCCACCCCTTGAATCTGGGCTGCCCTTGTGTCTCACTTTGGTCAATAGAGAGTGGCAGAGAACAGCGTGCCAGTTTGAGCCTAGGCCTCCAAAATCCTGGCACGTTTTTGCCTGCTCTCTTGGAACCCTGCCACCACCATCAGCACAAGGTCAGGCCCCCTGCTGGGAGGATAAGGGTCCATGTGGAGAGGGCTCGGTCTGGCCCAGCCGACCCCCGCCTGCCTGCAGACTGCACGTGGGAGCACGCCAGGCCTGAAGAGCCAAGCTGAGCCAATACGGACTTAGGAACTAAATAAGTGGTAGTGTTTTAAGTCACTAAATTTTGGGTGGTTTGTTTCACAGGAAGAGCCTTCTCTCCTCCACCATATGAAGGTTCCAGTACAGAATATTATTCAAACTGCTCTTTGCACTTATAGGGAGAGAGAAAAATAGATTTTTTGCTTTCTTCTGGTAGTTGAGTTAAATATGGGTAGGAACTACTGGACTCCATTTCCCTCTCAACTCTATGTTTTAAAGAATTTTCTTATGAGATCAACAGCAGATATATGTCATCAAAGCAAGCGAGTCATGTTTTGTCCCAACTCAGTTGTCAAAGGTTCCACCAATAAGACACGACATAACCAAAATTTAACACCACAGAGATCAGGAGTAAGACAGATCATTGTTTTACAAAGAGCCCTGTTTAAGCAAACCATGAAAAAAAAATCTTCTGTGGTCAAATATACATTTAATAATCTCTTTATCACATTCCCCCAAACAAGTTTTCATCATTTTCTTCATTTCATACATTTGTCACACACATCTTTATAATACGCAGATGCAGACCAATAATTGCTATACATTCTCCATCACGAATTATCTTTGGGTCAATATAGAATCAGGAGGGATCCGTGGGGGGAGGAATGAGAGTACTGCCTTTTTCCGAAAGTAGATTCTTATTTGTTTAGCACCCGAAACAAATGGTGCTAAACATTTGTTTAGGGTGCTGAATTTGTTACCTCTGGGTAGGGAGAGTGTCAACAGCGATCATTAGTGCCTTTTCATAGGAAGAAAAATGAAAGCACAGAAAGGTAGAGTACTATCAGAGGGATGTTGACAGTCACCGAGTGGAAACTTGGGTTTTTAGCTCAGCATCCTACTTTGTGAATGATACTTTGTTTGATATGTTGCATCTCAAAAGGTATCATGGTTTCTTCCATTTTTATAACATCTCTTTGGATGAATGTTAACTAAAAGGGCAGAACAGACAGTCAATTCCCAATCATCATGGCAATGCAGTTATTTCTTGTAATTTTTTACGTCGGCTAAGGAATCCCATAAACTATAAAGCCGCCCTCTGTTTCCCCATGAACAAAACTGACTGCTACTGTTGCAGCATTTCCAAGAGAACCTCAGCCAGCAGGGAGAAACCAACGATCAATGGTCATTCCCTTCAGCTGGGCCACCCGAGTGTGGACAGTGTCTGCTGTTAGCACTCTGAGAACCTACTAGACCTGCAAAATTAATTTTAGGCATTTTAACTTTTCTCTAGTATTTGAGAACAAATACTCACTGACCAGGACAGACGGAGCAACCCAGGCTACTCCTTTCAGCCTGACTCACACCGTATGTTTCTTCACAAAGAGGGCTGATGCTAAGAGAAAAGCACCTGTATGACACATTTGCTTCGATTCACAATAGGAAGGCTGGTTTTTAATGTAAATGCACTGGAAAATAGCAGGAAGGTTTTCCACTTCTACAAGGTTGAATTACAGATGCACAGTTATTTAGGAAGAAGCTGGGGCCTACTGCCTAAACACAGTTAGGCCCCTCCTGTCTAGAGAAAGAAAATGCGTATTAACGTTGCAACGTGATTCTTTCTTTCTTGAACTTCCCTAGCGCCTTCTCTTCACTCTGTGTGCAGGCTATCCCTGAGCCCTTTCAGCTCCCACATCTTTTCCCGAGAGACATCAAGCATAAGAATGCCAAGCAGCTGCCTGCATTTTTAGAGATTTATTTACTGAAGTACCTGGCTGCCTCTGCTGGACCAGGTAAACAAATTCCCCCCAGGGATGCACATGTGGGGAAGACACACGCTGCAACTCAGTTCTGCCTAAGGATAGACAAAAATGTAAAAACATTCAGAGGGAGAAAAGGGGTTTCTCCTTTCCTCTCTTTTAGAAAAATGGGAACACAGAAATGTTTTCAAAAACTAAAAGCCCCTCCACTTGTTCCCTGAGCCTCCCTCCGGGCTTCACATTTCTAGCCTTTTTCCAAAAGTGCTTAGTACAGATCCCCCCCGCCCCGCCCCTGCCTGCAGCCATCACCGAAACACAGGCACTTACTTGTGAGAAGGGGTGCAACAGATAATACAGACAGACCATCACCCCTGGGAGAATGCAAAGAAAAATCCTTAAATAGTAAAAAAGTGGGGGTGGAGGGGGGGAGTATCAAGAAAAATGTTATTAAGGGAAATACAAATACAGGAGGGGGGAAAAACACAGACCCAAATAGAACAGGCCTGCCATTAAAAACAGAAGTCAAAACAGGACAAGCTCCTGATGAAATGATGATGGGAAGTGGGAGGCAGGGAGGAAAACCATAAAAGGGAGTAAAAAAGCGGGGCAACCGACTAGAGCAACGTGCACTTGAGTTGATATGTGACTGGATGCCAGTGAATGGTGACAACACACTTGCGTTTTTAAAAAGCCCCCGATTGTACGAAGGGCACAGCGGGTAGAGAATGTCAGGTAATTTGGGCGCAGATGTACCGACTGGAGCTGCGAGAAGGCGCAGATCCTGGGCCGCGC